TGTAGTGAGTCCAGCAGCATTACTTTGCAGGTGTGAAGAGCATGCTAAACTACGAGTCAGCATTATCTAGGTTATTTGGTCTCACGATGTCAAATCCAAGTAGGGCATACTCCTGGGGGCATTTTGCCTCTGCATGGATTATGGGCTTGTAGTGAGTCTTCCATTGTCGAAGCAATGGCGAACTTGAAAAAGAAGGGTAAGGAAGAAAACCTCGCTTGACACGTTTGATGTGATGAACTCAGGCGAGAGCTCTTTGTGGATTTTCACGCGTCAGCGAGAGTTGGTGCACAGGATCGTGAGGAGTGTCGAGAATTTATGGAGGACACCATTGCTCCGGAGGCAACCTCAGTGTTCGAGAATCTGTCGGACGATGGACTGACAATGCGACAGACGCATTCTCTTGCGGGACGCAACTGAACTTGGTTTTTACGCAGCTGCCTCAAAGAAATCTACCAGAGAGCATCTTCGATACCACAGCTACTAGACTGGTGCCACACACTGTTTTTCAGGCCAGGAACAACTGTTAATATGCCCAACCCCAGAGATACTATATCTTCATCCTGTAAATCACTGGTAAAATTCGTCACAAGAGGAATTCTCCTGTCTATATGAAGAAGGCGTGATACAGATTTTCTGGTTTCGGTGCCTTCTCACGCTTCAATACGGATAATTAATACTTTATTCCCTCTTCTTATGGGCTGTGTCACGTCAATACAAATCAAACTCCTCCGTGAAAACAAGATACTTCGATTTCTTGGTGTGCCAGGTTATGGTTGCCTGCCTAATAAGACAGGGCTTTTGTGGGAGAGTTTTCTTTTTAGCTTGCTAGACGATGCATGGAGCAGAGCAAACTCCTAGAGTTTTTTATTCATACCAAACGGATATATCTCTGACTAATACTTCGGCCGTGCTAGATCAAGTGCGGATAAACAATCATCCGTGTCTCCAGAGAACTAATCCAGCGCGTTCCTGTGCGTCAAAATTGGATTCCGCATCAAATTATTGTCTGCCTGAAATGAGTTAGACAGGCTCTAAATAGATGTGGGAAATAATAAACTTATCATACAGAGACCAGAGGGACTTCATGTTGTCATGTGGCAATCGAACGTTTGTAACGGTTCGGTTCATTATGAATGCATCTGAAGAGTCAAAATGTCTCGAACTTGGATTGCTACCAATTTCAGCTTGGCGAAAGACTCACATTCCTGTACATGTGATGTTCATTTGAGGATTCCAAAATATGTATTACGAATAATCATTTCGTTATGAAGGCGCAGCAGAAAATGAGACCACTTGAAGCAGCTTAGTGATGTAATTATGTGATACTAATGCCAAGACAGATAAAATCAGTTACACAGTGACAATGTTTAGCCGATTAGGGTTCTCGAAAAGTCAATATGTCTACCTTGAGCAAACCGCCTTTTCATTACCAACCAAGATGGAATTACAGAGCCGTGTCGAGAAAAGCCTACTCACAACCCTAAGCTACACTCTTTTGGAAAATAAACTTGTCAGTTCTGAAAGCCCTCGGTTGTCACAAAACTAGTGATTCGCTTACCCCTTCCTGTCCATCGAAACTAGCCGCACCCTCCAGTCAACAACGTACTTGTATGATCCTCTGCAAACATTGTTTTCCATAGATAGCTGTACTCACCTCTAACCAGAATATGCTCCCAGGCATAATAAGTGGCGTATTTTGTTGTAGGTAACTCCCGATTTTTCCTGCATATAGTGGGCGAAACCGAGCTTTAATAGATTTACCGGCACTCATCTAGCTTCATAAAGTTATTCTCATTGCTCCAGGGCTCACATCACTAAGAGAAGTGCATATTGTATTCCATACCAGCCACCTTGTTCTGATATTTTTGCCTTTGCTCTGGTGAACCATTTTTTTCTAGCGAAATCCGCATATTTCTTCAGTGGTCAAACTAGATGCAGTTAAACCGTATTTTCTAATATAGTTATTTGTGCAGTCATAATCGATTACATTGTTTATGCCAGCAGAAATTTCAGAAACCTTCCACCCACTCGTGTAGGTAAACACTTTGCGTATTTACATAATTGCTATATGCTTGTTTTGTCGTGACAACCTCCCACGGTGAAGTAATGGGTTAACAGATAAAACAGCGAAGTATCCAGTAGGGCAGTGTTATCACCAACCACTGACTACGTACGCACAGTATGCTCGCCAAGTGTCAGCTGAAATCGGTAGCTGGGATGCTATGCTCTGTAATCTTTCCGCTTTATCTGATCGGTCACTTGGCGCTCTGGTGCCTTTGGTTGTTGATTCATGACACAAAACTTAGTGAAACAATAAAGAAACCCGGGCGTTTAAACAAGAATTACATCCTCTTTATTCACACTGCGAGGGATAACTTCATTAACTTTCATCTTGATGTGCTCTAGTTACTGAACCTCGGATTGGATTTTCCTGCCGCGTATGCCGCTTCAACACTATACCATACTACTACACTATACTACACTATACTTTACATCCGTCCGTGGTTCTAATGAGGTGAAAGTGGATTCTGCTTGAAACAACCGATTGGGGGCAGAAATTTACCGTCCATGTTGCACTCCCCGCTGTAACATTCTTTGTTTATACCATACCCTTTACCAACTTAAACATTGAGGACAAAATGCCAGGCTTTACCCAGAAAATGGTTGTGTATTTCTTCTCGTGATGTTCAGCGGAATAAATTGGACGCACGACCAGGTAACCTGCTAATGAGTATCTTAACTGAACACTATTCAGTTGCTCGTTCCAAAGTCTAATTTCGTCACACCTTAGCGACACAGCTCAAGTAATTAATGTAAGAGAGTTTTTTCACATGATCGATAAAGTACCCTGTAGTACGTCAGTATCAGTCCAATGGTGTGCCGCGACTTTAGTCAAAGCAGTCAGAGTACGATTGCGAAATTTGATTCCCTACCGTCAACAATGGCTTTGTTAGATGACCAGTATTGACGGACAGAGTGGCCCAGTGACAATTTAGACCACACTCGGCCAGTAAATTAGGCCAAATTTACAATACTCTGACAACCGACTGCTCCTTCTAAGGTCAATGAACAATCCTAGACTTTTACCTCATTATCTATTCCCATTTTACCCACTGGAAATGTATCGACTTAATGTTGAGACTCCATCACTTCCATGATATGGAAATACTCAGGCAGTGACGTTTGTTACAATGAATATCTGTATGGAAATTCCACTTACTAATATTTCTCTGGATATTTTGGCAATGTTGTTCAAACCTTACTTTTAATTCTGGACAGCTGCTCCGTGGAGTCTTCCGTTTCACATCTTGGCCGTGCTTTTGCAGCATTCTTCCCTTGATATAAACATTTAGTTTCATACCGTAGCAAAGTACTTTTAGTTTTAACGTACTAGCCTTAAAGTCAGTATAAGGTGTGATATGAATTAGATCCATGGTCCCGGTCATTGTTAATACGTGTACTCTTTTCCACGATTAAGCATTATTTTACTCCGGAGCGTTATCAAATCTAATTTCAAGAGTAAAGTGTTGTTTAATTCGTTCACCGCTCACACTAAGCATTACTACACTAGATGTGTGCAAATAGGATGAGAATTTGAGCCGATAGCTAGAATGTGGCTAAGATATAAGGATACGAAAAAAGCAGTAACATCCGAAGAAAAATGAATAAGTTAAGTATCTACCGCTTCAAAGACGGAATATTTTAGTTGAACAAGGCCATGCGAATTCATCACCCCCGTTCCTTTTTGAGATCTCTAGTTATTCCCGTAGGGCTTTCCTGTCACCCGAGGTTGAAAACAAATGATTTAATTTTCACTTCGATTCTCGCCTTAATCTAATAGCCCATGAACAATAGACTACCTTCCGCTAAGTAGTTCCAACACTCACGGCATAACCTAGCTGAAGAGATTACCCTCGAGTCGTGTATGAATCTCGTCTCCATTTTCGTTTTCAGATAAAGCGTGAGTTCCCCGTAATAACTTAAGTATTTTGTGCACTTTTACACAGTTTCCTTTCACCCATAAAATAAAAAATCCTACGTAGTTAGGTGTGAACAAAGATAGCCAGCCAAAAACGAGGCTTCAACATGCACAGCACGCAATCTACTATGAATGAGGTTTCAGTGCCAAAAGTTCCGAAGAAGCAACAATAATGCGGTTTGTCTGCAAAGCGAAAGATTTTTAACCTGGCTCAAGGAAAAATATATACAGTTAAGAAAACAATTGCAAATTTAGCTGCTTCTTCTCCTAACTCCGGTCTTCTGGCTGGCTGTTATTCAATGAAATCAGAAAGTATGTTGGAAATAGCTTTTGCTAGAATGCATGGGGCAACTCTGGCAGCATACAACAATGTAGTTCTGATTAGCATTATAATAACGTGTGTCTACTGATTATTCTCTCACTGTTCTCTCGAACTCCAATCTTACGGTTTCATAGTACTGGCTGGTAAGTTTTTTGAAGAAACGCATGTCCCTGATGGACGATCGGTCAGGATTTTGTAGCGAAATATTTCTGAATAAATATTTCCAAGTGATCCGAAAGCAGCAGTGAATGCGACAGAATTTATTACTCTGTGACCCTGACGGAAAATTCAACACGAAAACAAAGAACAACTTAACTTGCACCTGTATACTTTGCTTTTCGCGGAGCTTTTGTTGGTGATGGAAATTCACCTCCTGCGCAGAGTGCTCTGTATTTACTCTTAGTGGGATAAATTTCTCGTCCTCGTCCGGTATCAGTCAATAGCGTGAATGAAGCGGAAGTATTGTTGGATAGTTTTGGTAAGTTCGATTACTGTAAGTCTGCTCATGTCGAATATAAAACAATGGGGTTGTTTTGTTCTATTTCTAGTTTCATATTTACCAGAACGCTTTTTTTATGAATACTGTAATCGGGACAGAAAGTGAGATTCTCTATTACTTAAACAGTATAGGACACTAACTTAAAAAGTAGCAACGAAATTTTGCAATAACTTTACTTTCAACATTAAATTTCCTTTCAGAGTTCTCTCACTCGGAGGTCAAGTACGGAGCTCCCGTGGGGGCAACGAGGATGCGATCCTACCTCCAAATATCTACCTCGAAGCTCACAAGATGTACTCACAGCATCAACGTCTAACCGCTCATTGCAAGCTTTTCCGAAACATCGACTAAACAGTGCATCAGACTGCCGTGACCATCTTGCTTCGAATCCATCACTTATTGCAATGGGTCGTGGCAAATCAGCGACGCCGGAGTACCAGTCATCTGGCATACAAAGTCGACACAACAGTTTGTTAAGAGGTGGCTCATTCAACTTGGTCTCGGGGGAAAGTGAGTTGGGCAGTTCGCATCGACCGACAAAGACATCCGAGACTGAATGTGTGCCAAAGAGGTCACAGGAGAAAGTGATTGGGAAAGGGAATGTGGATAAACGGAAATCGAGCAAAATGTAAGTTACATATAAACACAGAACAATTCGTGTATGAGATCTACGCTCAGCAAGGTGCAGTCTGACCAGTCAAACTACAACTTGATTAATGACTATGTATGTACCTTCCAGGGGTTGACTTCTCCTTCCTCTAGAACCGACGTGATTCGTGAAGTGGCCGATATCTTACTGTCCACACTTTTCTAAGGGTTTCTTGTGGAAGCATTCCAGGAAAACTGAATGGCATTACACATACCGGAGTTTTCCGCTGTTGATCCAAGAAACAGAGCATATCGGAAAAATAAAGATGAGTCTTTTCCACGATGCAGCTGAGTTGAAACCAGCTAGAACCAACGGCAAGACGACCCCGTATAGGGCACTTAAGGAAGTTCGCCTATGCCGAGTAAATATGACTGGATCAACCGCTCGATCAAATATTAATCGATAAGCTACACTAGCGGCATCATCCATCAAGAAACGGGGCTAGGCTGATCGTGTAAAAGAAATGATATGAATTGCATGCTTAAGTTGGAGAGTGATGACAGTTTGGGACCAAACGTATTTTACCCTCTTACTTTCAAACTGTGCTTGAAAAAATTCAAAGGTTGCTTATGAAAACGAGATGCGGTATAACTATTAATTCATGTGAAATATGAATGTGAACAGCGTGGAAAGAAGGTAATCTGCCAAATCTCTATCGAGATTATACAGCAGTTTAAAATAACTGGGCACGTTGTATTTATCGGCCTCCTATCGCCATCAGGGATAAAAGTAAACTAACAGCAGGTACTACCGTTTAACTGACATACATGAGGATGTTGTGTGGAGTCTGTGAGGAGGTAAGAAATCCCAGTGAGGAAAGACGGAAGGATTTTGTGTTGATAAGGATTCGTATGCAAGTCCAGCTAAGTGCAGCTTCTGAGACTCTTTAGTTGACCCTGATAGGGCTAATGCAATGAGATTGAGTTAATCGGCACAGGACACACTTTCATACTTTGTGATAGCTAAACCATTTCGAAGGAAACAGACCTACGCTTTGTCAAAGAATGGTACCAGACAACAAACCATCAATGGTTGGTGAAAGAGTGCCAGACTTGTATCACATTTAGGAAATACGTCGTAAAACAACTGAAGTTCCCAAACAGAAGTTCTACAATACTACATTTGCCTAATCTGTGTCTGACAACACTACCTGTAGCAATACTCTTGTTAACTAAGTAGATATTGTATATCCTCCAGGGCTACCCAAGTACAAAAGAACACGGTATCGCGAGGAAATCCAATCTCTGTCAGTTCATTGTAGACTCTGTAGTGTTGCCGGCATTCATTAATTGCGGTACCTTTCCTGGTGGATAGGCAACAAGTAGCCTCCAGGAGGTCAAATCCTGAGATACTGATAGGATGCCTACGTGTTATCAGACCTTTGAAGGGCTGATTGGGGCTTTATGGGAGAGCTTTTTTACCATCATTGAACTATATTATGCTGTCCAGTGGACCATCAGAAAAGTTTAACAACTAATTTATTGTGTGAAACTTCGGAACCTCATTTCAGATACCAGTCATTTACAATCTCAAATTTCTTCTCTAAGATGTTTCTATGTCCTTATGTGCGACTCGTTTTTAGGGGCGAGCACAAATTGATACGGAAAGATAAAGCTAATTTATGAGAGCAAATAAGGTAGCGAGCAAAGCGTGTATCCCCTTGGCTACTACATCACAAATGTATATGGTACCAGAAATCACGCGGAAAAGGTTTAGATAGGAGCTACATACACTTAAGAGAAATATAAATCAATGGAAGTGGGGTTTGAATGAGGGATAGGTCAATGAGTCACGGAATCAACTAAGTGATGTCAATGTCAGACAGACTTGTGGGACCGGATGTTTCGTAGGCCAGTTCAAGTTCAGAGGTCGCACAAGTTCATTTTGGATGCAAAGTTGCGGATCCAGCACTTGGATTCCACTCGCCTCTGCGATCGATAGTAGTCTGGATCGTACCAGTCGTGATCGGTTCGGAGGCTCCTTGTCTATGACATGACTGGTTTCGGCCAACTGTGATGCAATCGCGCATACGCCTGGTTTCTTCCCACTACCACTCAGAGATACGGGATTGTGTTCTCTCATTGTGTACGACAAATGCCTTGTGGTACGACCAACGTATGATGCTTGGTACGAGCATACAAAGCTAGTTTAGTAGATGTTGACGTAGGCAACAAGATGGGCGCAAACCCCTAAGATCGTATTCAGCAGAGATTTCATCTTGTCACTGAGGCTAATCTATTCCGAAAAGCTGAGAAGCACTGTACAGCTGGTTCATCCTTGTTGGGAATTATCAGCACTGGCCATCTCACGGAACTCAGAGAGTTTTGAACCCACAACCGTCCGGCTAGTGTTTGAACAGTCTTTTGACCAGCAGTGGCTGAGTTCTATTAGCCCTCACCAAATTCAAGTCATTTATCCTAGCAACTGAAACTAGGGTGCGCGTCAGTTCTTTTGATGTAGGCTTTGCACTCGTTAGAGTAGAACGGATACTTTCAACCCCCCTTCATCCACCTACCCAAGGTTCCTCTGAAACTATTGATCAGCTGGACTATCATCTTGGAGCTTCTACACAATAAGCCGAATATATTAGTTAGCTTTACTTTTCAGTCCATATTCGGCAATAACACGGAACACTGGACAATCTGCCGTTGGTCGACGTTACTCCGAGGTCAAACTAAACTAAGTAGCAGGGTGAATACACGGGGATATATTTGTTAATGGACCTGTTTGATTGTTTTGGCTGTTCAGCCTAAGATGACTGTGGTCAAACATCATAAGTATTTCAGGATGCGGTCATTCCGGGTGAACGACAATAAATTATTTCTCCATTTGTTCAGGTCATGAAGCAAGCTTAACGCATGGCAGCATCTTATAGAAAGTGGGTAGCAAGGGCATATGCCTTAATACAAACCTGAACAGTCCATAAGACGGATTTACGCTCACGTGTTAAGAACATAATCCAGGATATGTAACAGGGGATCGCAAACTAGCGGAAGAACTAAACGAATTCTCGTGTCTACGTTCGCCACTAGGTAGATGAGAACCTAAGGCAATGTTGGGTACCATGAAACGGTGATTACGCAATGATAAATTAGGATAGCGAAGAACTGGGTGGAGGTGTGCGGGATCATAGACAAACAGACTAGCAAAGATATAATTGCAAAACGAAAAGTTGAAACATCCTTACCTTAATCGACATAATAAATGCACCTCACCGTTTGTTAGGTTGGTTATTTCCCCCTGAAATTCAGTAGCGAACACCCGTTAGGGTGAATTTTTTTCGGTTTTCCAAGAGTGATGCAAGGGAAGATGCAGTATTATTCGCTTGGTCTGGGACCTTGTACCAGTCAGTGCAGTCCCCTCAGATAATCACGCTATAATGGGTTCAAATTACCAGGTTGAACACTCAGTGTTTCCTTCGAAAGCGGGTTTTGTGAGAATATGCGCATAACTGAATCGAAATAAAATCATTCCGAAAATGCTACAAAGTTTAGTGAAAGCGATTTAACCAGGCCAAATGTGAGGTCGAGTTGAGAGTACGAATTTGTGGTATTTTTATTGATATCAGTATCATCCCTAATACAAGAGCTCGTAAGGTTTTTTATATTTCTGGATAGCTTGGTAGAACGATTCCTCATCAAAGTAATTGCACGTCCTCTGTGGACCGTGGCTCCATTTCTGTACAAAAATGTTGAATGGTTGCGTGCTTTTAGAACTCTTGAGGTCATATGCATAAGCATCTGAATGGTCCGTATCTGTGTACGGGAGAGCCCGCCAAGCAAACGGACTTTGAGCGAAATAGTGGTCTCGCAAATGTGCAATTCGGACAACTACATTCCTGAGGAGAATCCTAGCGCTCTGTTTCGTATGTGCCGTGATCAGTCAGCAATCATTCCTCAACTTCACTCGCTGCAAAAGGACGCGGTATATCTGACCATAAATAGCATCACCTTTTTAATCCGGATATTTCGTCATTTATGGTCCTAGAAACCTCCGCGATTTTCGTGGCTCGCTGTTCAAAAGGACTGACCATGGAATTGTTTACTACACTTTTGGTTCAAGCGAATCTCATAGCAATACGTACAGTGCATAAATGAATTCTTATATGCAGAAAAACTTAACCATTCTCTAGACTGATGTGCTATTGATCAGCTGGCTCGAAAGAACCATACTTTCGTTATATCGAGAAAACAATTTGTCATTGTGAGCCACTGGCAAAAGGCGAGCTGAAAACGTGTTCCTGGATCATCACTGGTTCGGTTCCTGAGCACCGTGCACGTTGTACGCACTAAGCAGCGGTTATAAGATCAGATCATTAGAGTGCTCCTATTAGTGTTTCATAATCACGCAGTATGCATTATGATCTTTCTGGAGCTCTCAGTATAGCAGATTGGACCTTGTCACAAATTCTTTGAATCGTTGCCTTAAAGGTATCTGTGCTGATTTAGTTTATGGCCGAGAACCGAGAAAATAAGGGTAGTCTTAATAGCCATTCGCATGCCTGAATGACAATCAGACAGACACGGCATATCGTCAGTTTTTGGAGACTGGATACAATAATACCTCTGTTTGGAGAAAATGCATTTTCCTTGTCTATCACCTAGAGCCATTTGATGATGGTTCATTCCGTACAGAATAGTTGTTTCTCGCTTCTGAAAGGAAAAAGGCCTTCGCTGCGGAGTTGTTTATTAGAAAATGCCAACTGAACATTTACAGACTACTGGATAGGGAAGTAAAACTCTCATTTACATCTTGTTTACAAAACTGAACATCCATCTTCTCCTTGAACGCGTCTTCCTGGACTTTCCGGGATATTCATTGGCTGTTGCTCAAATCCAAGCAAATGCTACAAATCGACTCCACAAATTCCCTAATAGATCTCACTTCTCGAGAGACGCAAAGCGGAGTTACGAGAAATCACTACTCGCATGTCTCCTCCATCAGAAGTATTACCGATACACCGTTAGACCACTGAATTA